TGCCAGAACCCCATCTTATTTTGGCACTGCATTCCAGAGAAAAGTACCCTTGAGTGTCAGGTTGTTTCTCTAAAACATGGAGGAACCTCTAAGCCTTTGGTCTCAAGCCAATGAGGGGAACATGACTAAATGTGTAAGAGAAGAAGCTTGAAAACCAAAGTCATAGGAAATGGACAGCTGAAGTACCAGTACCTATCCCATGTGAATTACTCAAATTTTAACTGCATAAGTGACAGGGAAATTTGTCAGAGCAAAAACAGTTCTTCAATAGCGTCAAAGATAGTGCGGAAGAGACTTTCTTTACACTTAACTAATTTTATTACCATTTCAAAGACAGTCAGTGAAAGGGGGTTCGCGTGCCCTTTTGGGTGCCCCTTCCCAATTAGGCCACTCATGCACTGAGAGGTCCGGCAGGAGATCTTTATTGTAGGGAGGCGAGCAGGAGGCAGGAAGGCAGAGAGAGAGGGAGGAGGAGGAAGAAGCAGAAGGAGAGAGAGAACAAAGAAAGGAAGGTCCTTTTATCAGTTTGGGGTGGGCTATTGCTTATTTATGAGGAGTGAGCTACTTTTAACCTGTCACAGGCCAGGTTGCTTTTATGGGCCCAGTCCTGCAGACACAGGTTTCAACTTTCCTGGACCACTGTGGCCTTGGGGGGGAGGGAAACCAGAGATAAGGGCATGAGGTCATTTTAGGAGCCAAGACGTACCAGGAGAATGCAGCCTGTGAGGCGGCGTCACAGCGTACTTTAACATGATCAATTCCCTAACAGTCAGCATCTGTTTTCACAGAAAACTTCCTCAAATTTTTTGTAACTTCCTATTTCTCATTAGTACATATCTGTCATACACATGGACACCATCATAGGAAATTTGTATTTATACGTATCTCGTGCATTTCTTTTTCCCCATTCCCCTCGACCCTTCTTCCCCTCCCCATATAGAAAGCTTTGTTCCTATATTTTCCTTCTATTCTTTTTCATTTTCTCGTTTCCCTTACCCCTCCTGTCTCCTTTCTTCTCTTTCCCATCTGAACATGTTCTTCCTGCTTCCCAAAAGTTATCCTCCATCATGCTCCTTATTAACCCTTTGGGTTTCTTCCTCAAGTGGAACAATGAGGTATTTAAAATCATGCGTCTGATTTATTTCACAAAAATTATGATCTCAAAGTGCCTCCATTTTCCTACAAATGACTCGTTTATCCTTTACAGCAAAATAGTATTGCATTGTATATAAACAGCACAATTAATAACCCATTTATGTGTTGATGGACATATGGGCTGTTTGCAAGACTTATCTACTATAAATTGTGTTGCTATAAACATAGGAATACATATATCGCTATGGTATGATGCTTTTAACTCTTTTGAGACAGTACCTAGGAGAGGCACAGCTGGGTCAAATGGAACCTCTAGTTTTAGTTTTTGAGGAATCTCCACACTGATCTCCATAGTGGTTGGACCAGTTTACACCTTCACCAGCAGAAGGGTTCCTTTTTCGTCACAGCCTAGCTAGCATTTGTTATTGGTTGATTTCTTGATCTTAGCCATTCTTTCTGTAATGAGATGGAATCTCAGCATTGTGTTTTTTTGTTTTTGTTTGTTTTTTTGGTACCGGGGATTGAACTCCGGCCCTTACCCTTGTGAGGCAAGCAGGCATCGGAACCACTAAGCTAAATCCCCGGCCCTCTCAGTGTTGTTTAAATTCTCATTTCTCGATTGACCCCTGATGTTGAGCATTTTTTTCATATTATTATTTGCTATTTGTACTTCTTCATCTGAGAAATGTCTATTCATTTCAGATGCCCATTTTTGGATTGGGTCTTAATATTTTTGGGGGTCTGATTTTGAGTTCTTTATGTATTCCAAATATTCGTCCTTTGAGGAGTAACTGGTAAAATTTTTTCCCTCTCTGGGGGTTGTCTCTTCACTCTATTGGTGGATTCCTTTGCTGTGCAAAAGCTTTTTGATTTGATGGGATCTCAGTTGTTAATTCTTTGTAATATTTCTGGTACAACTGGGGTTTTGTTCATAAAAGTCTTTCTCTAAACTGTTTTCTAGAGTTTTACCTATTCTATTTTCCAGCAGATTTAGTGTTTCTCTTTAAATATTTATACCCTATCCATTTCAATTTTACTTTAGTGTATAGTGAGAGATATGGGTCTAGGTTAAATTTTTGGCATGTGGAAAGCAAGGTTTCCAGCACTATTTATTAAAGAGCCTTTCCTCCAGTGACAGTGTCTGCCTCCTTTGTCAAAGATAAGGTAGCTGTGTGTGCTTGGAGTTGTTTTTTCATTTTTTATTCTATTCCATTGATACTCAGGTCTTTTTTTCCAGTACCATGCTGTTTTTATCACAGTAGCTTTGTAGTATAGTATATTTTCAAGTTAGGGATTGGGATGCCCCTGCCTTGCCTTTGTTGCTCAGAATTGCTTTTGCTATTCTAGGTCTCTACTAGCCCCATAAAAAATTTAGGATTATTTTCTCTAGTTCTGTGAGGTATGATATTAGTACTTTTATTGGGATTGTATTAAATGTTTGAAAATATGGCCATTTTCACTGCATTGGTTCTTGCTCTCCAAGAACAGGGAATATTTTTCCATTTCCTGATACCCTTTTTGATCTTTTTTCAGAGTACTGTAGTTTTTAATGTATAATCTTTTACTTTAATAGATTGATTCCTAAGTGTTTTAGATTTTTTGATGCTATTGTAAAGGGTGTTATTTTCCCCAATTTCTCTCTCACTGAGTGTGTTATTCATTTACAGGAAGGCTATTGATGTCTGAGTGTTCATTTTGTCTCTGGTATGCTACTGAATTTGGTTTTTAATTCTAGGAGTGTTTTGGTAGAGATTGGGGGTCTTCTTGTAGAGTGTTATGTCATAAGCAAATACTGGTAATTTAGACTCTTCCTTTCCTACTACATTCTTTTTATTTCTTTCTCTTGTCTAATTGGTCTGGCTAATGTTTCCTGAACTATATTAAACAGGAGTGGTGATAGTGGCCATCCTTGCTTTGTTCTTGGTTTTAGAGTGAAACCTTTCAGTTTTTGAGCATTCAGTATGATGCTGGCTATAAGTTTGTTATAGATGGATTTTATCAGATTGAGATAAAGACCATCTATTCCAACTTTTTATAGGTTTTTCTTTTTTTATCATGAATGTGTTGAACTTTGTCAAATGCTTTTTCTGTGTCTACCCAGGTGGTTTTTGTCTTTGGCTCTGTTAATGTGATGCATTATATTTACTGACTTGCATATGTTGAACCATCCTGGCATCTCTGGGATGAATCCTATGTGGTCATGGTGTGTAATTTTTTTTATGATTTGCTGCATTCTGTTTGCCAGTATCTTGTTGAGCATTTTTCATCTATGAACATTAAGGAGATTGCCCTATAGTTTTCTTTTTTGGTTAAATCCTCCTCTGGCTTTGGTATCAGGGTAATGCTTGCTTCCAGGAATGACTTTGGAAGTATTATTTACCTTTGAATCTCATTAATGAGTTTGAGGAGTAATGGCATTTTCTCTAAAGTTCTTATAGAATTTAGAAGTGGACCCAGCCTTTTCTTTGTGGGTAGTTTTTTTTTTTTTTTTTTTTTTTTTTTTTTTTTTTTTCTTCTTCAATTTCATTGACTGATATTGGGTTATTTTGAATCTTTGTATCTTCTCAATTCAGCTTTGGTAATTCGTATGTATCTAGGAATCTGTCAATTTTCTTTGAATTTTCTATTTTAGTAGTGTACAGGTTCTCAAACTAAGTACTGATGATATTCTTAATTTCTGCAGGCTCCATTGGGATTTTACACTTTTTGTACCTAATTGCATGGATTAGGGTTTTTCTTTTCTTTTTTTGATAAGGTTGGCTAGAGGTTTGTCTATTTTACTTTTCAAAGAACCAAATCTTTGATTCCTTGATTTTTGTATTGTTTTTTCAGTCTGAATTACATTAATTTCTGCTCTGATCTTTATAATCTCCTCACTTGTATGAGCTTTGGGTTTGATTTCTTCACTTTCTAGAAGGTTGAGGTTCAACATTAGGTTATTTGAGATCGCTCTGTTTTCCTGATGTGGGAGTTCAGAGCTGTAAATTTCTCTAAGGACTACTTTACTTGCATCCAGTAAATTGTGGAATGCTGTAATGGCATCATTTAATAACAGAAATTATCTAATTTCTTCTTTAATTTTACCTATAACCCATTGGTTGCTCAGGAGGTGTTATTTAATTTCCATTTATTTATGTAGTTTTTATGGTTTCTTTTAAATTGATTTCTCTCTGTAAAATGGCATCCAACCAAGCACTGGCTCCAGCAGACACTGTGGTCACTTGGACGGAGTCACCCACTAGCTTTGGTAGTGCACAGCATCCCATCCACTGCTCCATTCTACTGCTGTGTTTCTTCCTGGAGGCCTCTAGATTCACCCGCTTTCACTCTGTCGGAAGATTCAATCTTCCTTTCTCATGCCATGAGACAGTGTAGACCTCCCCTTTCTTTTTCTGCGTTGAGGTTTGTCTCTTCACTTTCTCTATGGGCTCTAATTTTTTCTTCAGATCCTTCCTACATCCTGGGGATCCACCTCTCTTCTTCTTTTCTTCCCTGAGTTGTTATTTCCAAAATCTAGATTCAGAATCTTGGAGAGGTTGATTTGTTGCTGCTTAATCAATCCTTTCCCATCTTCCTGGAAGTCCTTCAACATTTATGTTATTGATCAAACTCAACATATCTTCTATTCCTTCATTCGTAAAACATACTCAACATTTATAGTAGATGCCAAGATTTACAGTAAACAAATTTAGCTATAAACATCATAGTTTATTTTTGGGGTGAGATGACATTTAGTTTTAAACCTAAATAGTACAGTAATGTGCCACACAATATTTGGGACAATAACAGAATGCAACAGTGGTCCCATAAGCCTGCTGCCTAGTGATGAGGCAGATGTCTTCATTTAATGGAATTCCATGTTTCTCATGTCTGCATGGTGATGAAATTGCCAGACAGCACAATTCTCAGATGGTATTCCTATCATTAAGGGGCACATGACTATACATGTCAAGTAATACTGATGACAAGAAGTTAGAAACATGAAAGTATTAGCGAAGTTACTTTACCTGGTCCAAATTATTTCTTAAGGTCTTCAATTCCATATGTAGTATCCTAAGGGAGTTTTTAAGTTGTTGGTTTGCTTTAACTTCTTTATTATATTGCTCTTCTTTTCTGTTTAACTGTTCTTTATTTTTTTCACAGAGCCAATCAGCCTTTTCTCTCTTTTCTTTTTCTTGTTTTAAGGCAAATCTGCAGTTAAATATACTTATTTTAAAATATATTTTGTTACAAAATAAAAATTCATTTTGTAATAGACCAATATGCCTTTTCATAAATTGATTTATTATACTAGTGAAATTTCTATGTTCACCAATATTTTTCTCATCTAGGTCTCATGTTTTTAATGTCTTACCCCATCTCTTCCAAAGGGCACACACACACACATATATGTATACCTAAACGTGAATGAACATGCTCTTAGCTGAGAAATTTCTGATAGTAAAACTCTGGTAAAGATTATGGAAGAGGAATTTGAAATCACTCAGTAAACTTACAAGCTCAAAGTTATTCCCTTTTTGCACAGTATTAATTATTCTTCAATTGAGATAATTTTTCTGCACGTTTGCTCTATGTAATGATGACACTCATCATAGAGAATTGATACATGTGTATTATACATCTTAATTCTTTTTATTTCCCCTTCTCCTCCCCTTGTTCCCTTTCCCTCCATTTCTAGATCCCCTTCCCACTTACAAAAGGTCTATCTTTCTGCTTCTTATTATCTTTTATTTTGTTCTTTAAATTACTTATACTTTGGGTTTTTAGATGAGAAACTGAGACAGTTAACCTTCTGTCTCTGGATTTATCTCATCACTGTGGTCTCAAAGTACATCCATTTTCCTATAAATAACTCTTGAAAGATATATCTAAAAAAGGAACAGCTGGATCAAATGGAATTTCTAATTTTAGTTTTTTGAGGAGTCAAAAAAGTGCACACACAAAAATATTTAAACATTTTTTCTAGGTTGAGAAAAATGGCCATTTCACATTTTTTTGGTGGAACTGTAAATTACTATTGACTTTCTTGAGAACAATTTAGAAATATTGATCAAAAAATTTTAAAAAGTTTCTATACTTACCAAATAATTCCAAGTTGAAGAATTTATTAAAAGTAAAAAAAAATTAGTAATACAGAAAAATGATTTATATAGAGGCTATTCATTGTACCATTAATTGTAATACAAAGGCAAAAATTTTTTAAACTCCAAAATTCAATTAGCTAAATAATGAGATTTCTGAATGGTAGGATCACTAGCCATTAAAATTATAACTTGAAAGAATATGCATTTAATAATTAGTGGCAGTCATGGTTAACAATTTGTTATCTTATTTCCAAGAATTTCAGACTCCAGACGAGTAAGAAGTATTCTTCCCTGGAAACTTTTAAGTCAGTCAGCAACTACAAAAATCCCCCTATCTGCAGTGGAAAGTGAATGGTCTGAACATTTCTTTAAAACTAGATATTATACCTCGCATTGCAGAGTTCTTGTTCCTGCTCTACTTTTTCATGTTCTAACTGTAATTTTAGTTCTTTTGTTTCTGATAGCTCTTTTTGTAGTCCAGTGACTTTATCTTCCATTTTTTCAATTTGTCTTCTAAGTAGTTCACAGCAACGTATTTTAAGTTCTATTAATCTTTTATATGACTGAACTGCCTTCCGGATTTTCAATAGGCTAAAAGAATCTGTATCAGGGAAAAAGTAAGACAGAAATAACATATACGACCATCTTTTACATATAAAGAACTTTTCATTTTCATATTCACCATTCATACACTGAACAAACATACAGTGAGGGCCCACAATGTGGAGGACATTATACTAATCCCTGCAAATAAAACACATGAGCGCCTGCTCTTGTTTAAAGTCTACTGGAAAAGGGAAAACATAATAACCATTATAAATTTATACAGTTGCCATAAGAAAACAAAGTTTTGTGATCGCACACAGAAAAGTGATGTACAGTGGGCTCTGGAAGATTTTCCTGGGGAAGAGATGGTGGTGCTGAGAAATGGATGGGCACATGGAGCAGTTAGGCAGAGCTTGGAGATCACACTATTCATTCCCCAGCAGGTGCTGAGGCTCTGTGGCAAACTGCTTCTAGTCAAGGTAGAGTCACAGGTACAGATTTACCTTCCTGTCCGAAACAACCACAACTGAAACACTACATTAAACAACAATTTCCAAGGCAGTAGCCTCAAGTAATGAAGACAAGGATCCCTGACCAGCAGGAAACAAATGAGGTAAGCCTTCCTGGTGTCCCTGCTTCCTGCCGTGGAAACTTCCCAGACCATGACACAGGAGAAGAAACTGAAACTGAGTCTCTCAGGGGCAATGAGCTGCGTCTGGCAAAACCAAGGCAGATGAAGAGCACAGGGTAGAACACTGGAGAGCAGAGCGATGTAAAGAACTCTGGACAACTGCAGAGGGCCCTCTCTGAATAGTGAGGAGAGTAAGGAGCAGCCTAGGTGTGGCAATCAACTACCTGAGACTAAAGGAAAGATATCTGAAAAGATGAGAGAAAATCGTGCCAGGTGCTCACCCAGTGCCAGGAAGTATGTCTACTCCCACCAGCCAGGCTGCATAGGGTGACCCGAAAGGCCTTGCCTCAGCCCTGGGGATTAACCCTCAGGTGAGCCCTGTTCTGATACAACGAACCTAACAAGTCAGAAGAAGCAAGTGTTTGTAAGTACGTTACCTGTTCCCAAGGAAATTTAAAAAGAGAAACAGAAACATGAAAGGTATTTTTTTAAAAAAATAAATTACACTGTAGAAGTACAAACTAACAGAAATGAAAGAGCTCTATAACGAACAAACCAAACTACAGCTGCTTCCCCCTTACCCCCCAAAAATGGTTGAGTGATGAACAGCAGAAATTTGGCTTGAGATTTGGAAGCCAGATTTTGGAAAATAACTTGGAAAAGGAAAAAAAAAGAGAGAGAAAAAGAAAAGTAGATCTCTAAGAATCAGGAAGGAACTGACAGGAAAATTAAAAGCAAGAGAAGCTGCAGAGGTGGACCTCAATGCAGGGAAAGGAACAAAAGTTTGGAATTTCTTCCTGGGCCAACTCTGCCAAAGGAAGGTGAGCACTGGGGATCATATGGGGCTCCAGAGAGAAACTAGCAGTGGACTGTGCTGACAGTAGTTGTGATCTGCATGGGCAGTGAGGGGTTTTGCTCCAACAAGAGTCTCTTCACAGGACAGGCAAGAGCAGGAGAGTGATCCCGTGCAGGTGTCTGCCATATCACTGGACAGAGTGCAAGGTTGGACACCACTGTTATTCAGACTATGTAAAGAACTCCTAATAACCAACAAATAACCAACTACTTAGTTTTTTTAAATAGCTGAGGTTCTAAAAGGATAGTTCACTGAACAAGATACACAAATGACTTGCATATGGAAAGACGCTCAACATTATTAGTCATTAGTGTAATGCGCATCAAAACCATGTTGATATGCACAATACTTAGCCATCAGAATGGCTAAAATTAAAAGAAAAAAATCTGACAATACTGCGTGTTTGTGAAGACAGGGAGGTACTAGAGCTCCCATATGCCACTGATGGGAATGAAAACTGATTGAACTGAGGGCTTTCATGCTGAGTTACATTTCTAGCTCCTATTTATTTATTTTGAGCATGTTCTCACTATGACACTAAGTTGCCCAGGCTAGTCTTGAGCTTGCTATCCTCCTGCCTCAGCCTCCATGAGTGCTGGAATGATAGGCATGTGCCTGACACCACACCTGGCTTTGGCAGTTTCTTAATGAGGGCATGTAAAGGGAGACGAGGAGATTTGTGATCCTACTTGATTATGGTGATTAAATGTATGATTACTACATATATCACACATGATCTTAGCCAAAAGGCCGAGAAGCTATTGATTACTACATATATCAAAATTCATCAAACTGCACATTTTATGTTCAGTTTCTCATAAATCAGTAATGATACTGAAAACAAAGAGCTTACTGCAAGAATAAACTTCTAAGGTAGTGGTTGGGATGCAGAGAGAGGTAGGATCAAGCTAGAGGACTGAGATTTTCAACCTTATAGCAATGAGAAGTGACAGCGAGGTTTTAGGCAAGATGTCAGTACAATCAAATCTGATTTAAAATAAACTTTATATGCAGAGTAGCCCACGGTTGCAGGAGTTGGGCAGCAGGGAAAGCAGTTGCAACGTTACCGTGGTACTGCAGGTAGAGACTGTGGTAACCCGAGCTGATAAAGGCAAAGGCTGGGGAAAGAAGCAGTCAACAGAAAGTCAGGGCCACGAGCAAGTGGGGCCTGTGCGGGGGGAGCCGCAGCTCTCTGGCTGGGTGCGCGGAAGTGCTCTACATTCTGATGGGAAGCACGTTGTGTAACGCTGGTGTGCTCCGGAGGGCACTGCCGAGCAGTGTGCATCGGAAGGCTGTGCACCAGTGCAAGGCCCTACCTTTACAGTCCGCTTGAAGTTGTGTGATCAGCAGCAAAACATCCTCAGAGCTCGGGTAAGGCAGCTCCGGACTCTCTGAGGCTGCTTCACACGACTCGGTGAGGTCATCAAGGTCATCCATAGCCTTTGTTTTCATCTGTAAAATAAACAGTGCTATTGCAAAGGGTCCCCAGATGGTACTACACACTAAATGAACACAAGCGGCAATTATCTACCATTTTATAGAAGCAGAAGTGCAGTGCTTCTTAAAGAACCAATTTCTGTCAGTTCTAGCAATGCCTAAAGTCTTGATCACTTTTCAGTGTCTTCACACGACAAGAAATTTCCTCTTTGCTTTGCTTTTTCTACTGTATTCTTATTTATAATTTTTATAATGTATGGTGTTGGCCTCTTCATGTACCTTTTCAAGGAAATATTATTTTTGATACTTTTTGCAACACTATTTTTTTTTCAGAAGATATCTTCTTTGCAGGACTGAAAAACACCCATAAAATCTTTTCAGGCAAATACCGAATAAGTAAAATATATGGCATATCTGAAAGTATTTTCTTTTTACATAGAATCTCTTTATTTGTAATTTATTTCTCCTGTTTATAATGTTTACAGGCTATTTAAAACACAGTAATTTTTTTTGTTCGTTTTGGTTTTTTTGTACTGGTGATCAAACTCGGGCCCTTGCACTTGCGAGGCAGGCGGCGGAACCACTGAACCACGAAGCCAAAGCCTGGTAAAATACAAGAATATTCTACCAAGAGAATTCGACTATAAACAAAAAGCAACATTAAGGGCAATGAATAGTACTATTAACACTGTAACAGAATCAAATTTTGATCATACCAATTGACAAAACAAAAGGAAAAACACAGTGTTACTTACATGGTTGAATAGGAACATACCAGGTTTTCCTTATGACCACTTTCAGTACAAACAAAGTTCTGTGGGCGCCAGTCCATCTGGGGAGAACTATTTCATGAGTAAACCTCTGCACTCGCCATTTTCTTACACTGACTCAGCACCGCCTGGCTTCCGGCTTCCCTTGCGGCTCTGGGATCAGGCGGGTCAGGGCGGTTTCCGCGGCTGCGCAGTCCCAGGCCTCAGATCACGTGGCTTCTGACCATCGTAGCTAACGACGTTAGGAGTAATGACTGAAGGGCAAAATGATCTTGATGAATCTGGTAGTAGAATGACCTAAAGGCAGTGGGTGGGGTGTCCTGAACCCTTAAGATTACCCTATTATAAAACATTCACGTAACACACGTGTGCGCGCACACACACACACACACACACACACAAGTTTTTGTGATTGTTGCAACTGTAAGTTTCTCAGATATCTTCCCTCCACTGTGGGTCCCTCCCTGTCCCTTAGCTCCGTCACCACCTCCTCTCGCGGTCTGTCTTTTTGGCCGTTAGAAGCAAAATGCAGAATTGTTCCTAGAATTTCTGGAATGGAATAGAGTAGAATATCAAGAACAATATACACTTTATTAGGTAAATGGCAATAAACGTTTTTCCTTTTTAATTTATTTTACAAAAAAATTTTCATAACCAAATAAGAATAACAATACTTATTACATTGTGTATTGTCATCTTCAAAGTATTTACTCAGTACAGGACATAAACCAAAAAGACTCTTACAAAAACGAACATATAATAACATGAACTTTCTTTTCAAGAACTATTAGCATAAATAAAACAAATCAGCATATATTGAAATATTTCTAAAACAAGAAGTATGTAATTCAGGGTAGAAGTTGAACTTCTCCCTACTTCCTATTCATCTCTCTTCGATTTTGCTCTTTATTTGTATATATATTTTTTCTCATATAAGAAACCATGCAATATTTGAGCTTGTGTGTTTATTTCACTTAAAAATATATTTTTAATTTGCATCCATTTGCAATGCAATAAATTGAGTGCCACAAACTATATCATTTTATACAAAAGTTATTATTAAATTACCCACTTAAGTGTGGTGACCAATAATTTATTTTGGGGTTTTTTTTTGGGGGGGTTGTTTTTTGTTTTGTTTCGTTTTTTGAGACAGGGTCTCACTATGTAGTTGAGACTGACCTGGAACTCACTATGTAGCCCAGGCTGGTCTCGAACTCACAGCGATCCTCCTGCCTCAGCCTCCCAAGTGCTGGGGTTACGGGTGTGTACCACCACACCTGGCACCAATGTCTTATTTATATTTCCATAATGAGTGCTCAAATAGTTGTTGAACAAATAAAATTTTAAATAAATTTAAAATAAAAGTAGTGTAATGGAAATATAAAGACCACACAGTTGTTTGTGATACACAGAATAATTGTCTTCCACAGGTGTCCATATCCTTATCCCTGGAACCTGTGAACAGAGAAATCAAGTTTGCAAATAGATTAAGATTGGCTTCCACAAACAAGCAGCTTTGCTCCGCCACAAATGCCCACTGAATAGTCTCACCCCAGCGCAAAGCATCCAGCCTGGAACTTAGGAAAGTGTCAGCCAAAATAAACTTTTCTCCTTAAAGGGTGTGTATCTTAGGTGTTTTGTCACAGTGCTGGAAATCTAACACAAGGACTTTTGGAACTCTTCTTTTCACCCCTACCACTGGTGCTCACCCTGTGAAGCCCTGTCCACACGTCAGTGCAGCCCTGCCTTTACTGGGTCATCCATTTCCAGACCCACCCATTTCTAGCTGGTTCCGCAAACTAACTGTCCAAATGTCATGTCAGCTAGAGAGCCTGAAATCAAGCAACATGTTTCCCATCTTTTCCTTAGATTCTTATCTCAGGAAAGTATGCTTAGGGGGACAGAGTTTTGATTGTTAGACCAGAAAGACCCAACTGTCTCCAGTTCATGCAATATGGAGGACTCCTGTTGACCCCTATTCTTTACCCCAAATCTCAGCATTGCCAAGGGCAAATGTTGGACTCTGGGATGCCGTGAGTTGCTTAGGATGGAGGAACAAGGTTTCTCGATTTCCCTCTCCCAAGCTGTATTTCAGAAGTCACTGTTTCACAATCTAACAAACACAGTCAAAACACTGTAAGATGCCCCACTTGTCCTATAGATATTTAGAGTGACAGAGGATGGGTCTGTGTGTATTTTAATAAGCAGGCCTAAGTTCCCCATACCTACCTTGAGGGCTCAGCAGGAAAGACAGCAGCAGCAGCCTCTTTGCAGATGGCCTCCCTGAAGAGGTGTTGCAGAATGGGCCTGACACATCACTTAAGTGAGATTATTTGGGAAATCCAGAATAGATGCTGCTGAAGGGGTATGAAAAGGAAAATACTCCCTCATTCATTCTGTTTGCAGAATGCTTTGTGTAAATTGCCTGCCAAATATCTCCAAGGACTTCCTGCTAATATATTAATTGCAGATAGAAAGGAACCAAGAGAGTGATGAGATTTTAAAAATCAAAATGAAGAACTAAATACCAAAATTTATTTTTTCAGAATCCTACCCAGGGAATCCTTCTCTAGCTTATCAGGCAAAGCAAACAAATTATTTGATATCACCACTGATGATGACTAAACTGTATTGCAAATTAATTATTATTCCTCTACCATTATATCTCATATTCTAACAGGAGAAAGTGCTCATAGTTCAAGTTTCTGTTGGGTTATATCATCTGAACCAAGCCTAATGTGGTGATGCACACCTGTGATCCTAGCACTTAGGAGGCTAAAGCAGGATTGCCTACAGCTTGAAGCCAACCTGGCTACACAGTAAGTTCAAGGCCAGCCTGGACAATATAGAGGGATCCTGTCTCAAAAAAAAAAAAAAAAAAAAAAAAAAAAAAAGACAATGGGAAACAAGGAGACATCTTTTTTTGTGAAAGGGAAGGAGATCGACAGATGGAGGGAGAGCAGAGGGAGAACAGAGTAAGGGAAGGGGAAGTAAAAAGCATTACAACGTAGAACGCACACGTACCAACTCCTGTTGATGAATGTAATCATGTACTGCAAATGTGTGCTAGTAAAATTTTTTTAAAAAAACTGAACCAGAGAAAAACTGCTTTGTGGAGAGTATAGCTTTGCATATGTTTGTATTTAGAGTCTCAAAGAAATAATTATTCATTTGGAAATAGTGCCTCCAAACCCAGTACATTAAAGGGCAGCTTGGTAAAGTATGAAAAATACAGAAGACCCAAAAGTCCTTGGTGAGATCCATGCCCCAGTGTGCTTCATTTTAAGTTGAGTGATACTGATCAAAGACCTGACCACTTGGGACTGCAGATCTCTCTTCCAAAAATGAGGTTATTTTCTAAAGCACAGGATTATCCAGGGGAACAGGGGTCACCAGGCAGAACTCTTGGACAACTGGAAAGCACTACATTCAGCAGTGTTGACTTCTCGAAGAGACTAACCCTAGGATGTAGGTCACTTAGGAACTTGTCGGCAGGCCTAAGTGGCAGGGAGGTCTGTAAGAGCTTCCTGTTGGTGGTGTGACCCAGAGGGCAGGTGGGAGGGGTCCTGGGTGCCAAAGGCCTCAAAGTGTGGTTTCCAACGAACAGAACAGCATCTCTTGGGAACTTGTTAGAAATGAAGTCCAGGCAAGTGCTACTCAAAGGCGCAGGTAGAGTTAGGAGAAACTGAGATTGGACAGACCCATGTACTTTCTAGACCAAAGTACAGGGCCCCAGCAGAGTCATGGCCACCTTCCTTACACTTAGTCTAGAAGATAAACTTTTCCTCAAATTCTTAGTGACTGTGACTGGGGGGATTCCCATCCAACATCCTTGAAGGGGAACCAGGTACAAATTTGAGGAACCCTGAGATAACCCTTTCACGGAAACCACTTCCTACTTAGTGGGAGGGTTTTGGTTCCATGCGACAGCTGTGATCACTTGCTGCTCATGTTTATGCATGTCATGAGGGCTGACACTTAGGCTCAGGTTTCCTGTGGAGCATTTCCATAGGAAAGGGCCAAGATCTGAATAGGAGCCTGCAAATAAAATCATGCATTAGGAAAAGCAACCACCGACAACTACCTAGGCAGGCTGGTTCCTGAAACTAAAAGCTGAAATCCAAGCATTACCTCAAGTCTCCTTCCCAACTGGGGTTAGGGAGTGGCAGTGACTCGGTTACTTGCAAACACCCTCTATTCTCCTTTCTCCTCCTTCACCCTCCTCTCCCCTCCTTTTCTCTCTCCTCACAACTTCTTGCTAAGCCCTGTTCAAGGAGGAGAAAACCACCATTTACCGGTGAATACTGCTGCTCAGCACAGCTTCCCAGGGTTTGAAGCAGAAAGCATGGAAAGCAGCGGGCTGAGCCCAGAGTTTCAGTGCCACAGAGCAGCCACTTAATCTCATCGTGGTTTTCTCAGCTGAAAAGTCAGGGAGGGATGTGATGGTTTCTGTCATCTCTTGTGAACAGTGGTGGATGTGGCCTCACACAGCTCGTGATATACAGATGAACTAGCTGATTAATTCGACCAGCACAGTCTGGCAACTAATACAGATTTGGTGACTGACTTTTCCTGTTAATCTCAGTGAGACTTTGTGTTCATGCAGTGTGGCCATGCTCAGTTTGTGGGGAGATAGTCAGTCACCCAGCATGGGTCAAGAAAGGACAGGACCTCTGCTTGATTTATCTGTTTGGAGGTCTGTTATTTGTTTGCTTTTGAAAGCTGGAGCGCATCAAAAACAGTTTGTGGATTTGTAGAAACAACCCCGACATTTAGATCTCAGGCATGAAGAGCAAGGCCTTGTGATTCTATTCAGCTGGCTTATTTCCATTAAAAAAAGAATATCAAGTTCACCCAGAATATGAGCGCGCCCTTCGCGGTGGGCGACGCAGACGCTTTGGGCGTGGCAGGGGTGTTCCATTTAGGACTGTGGTGCCTGTTGTCTTCCACAGCACACGTGAACCAAGACATACAACTCTTTCTCGCCATGTTATGCACAAACTCTTGCTCATTGCTGTTTGAAGCCCTACTGTGATTCTGGAAACAGACTCCCAGTCCTCCTGGACCGTGGTCATCGCAGACAGACACAGCCATTCCAATCTGAGTCCAAATATCCCCTAGCAGGACCTTGCTTCCTGCGTCCTGGTTTCCTCTCACCACAAGAGGGCGCGAAAGGCACGCGGTAGGACCTCTCCCCACTTGGAAGACGGGGTCCTAAAGGAGGGGAAAGCTCTGGGATGCAACTACAAATGCATTTTGTTCTCAGGAAAATAGAAGTGATAAGAGATGCCAAGGTTCCAGTGCTGGCTTGAGAAAGACTGGTTACCCTGGTGGGATCTCTTATCTTTGCTCTCTTGCCCAGCTGGGCCTTAGACTACTGGGCCAACGCTATCTTCCTGCTTCTCTTCTGTGTCACTGGGATTACAGGTGTCGGCACAGAGCCCTGCTCTGGATCAGCTGTCAAAGGATCTCATATTTGACTCAGGTCCTGGTCAGCA